ATATAATTGAAACATATAAATATAAAAAGATAATCTAATATCATAATTAAAGTGTCATGAGATAGAATACACATTAAAACATTATGTCCTAATATCATACATGGATAAGGGAAATTAGAAAATACATTGCAGAATATAAATAAGGTAAAATAACTACGGTTCTTGAATGGAACGTAATTTTTTACATGCTTCATCCCAAGACTTTTTTGTAAATGTAAGACGACCATTAGGAAAAATCTTTGTAATAGTTTCAGAAGACTCAGTAGGTGTAGATGATGGGTTTGACGCGCTTTCTGATCGGTAGCGATTTGGGCAAACTTTTGCAATATGACCCTCACGGTTACACAGTTGACAAGTTACTTTATATCGTTGCGGGCATATAGTAGCAACATGTCCAGAAATATCACATATTTGGCAAACAACGTTGTCTTCATTTTTAGGCAATGGACTGTCTTGGGGGATTGCAATATGATTCCTTGATGTTGTCAACTTCTTCCTTAGAGGACTCCGAGATGGACAATCCCATAATGATTCAGGAGTATCCGCAACAATTCCTATGTAAATTAACATAAAATTAATATGTTAGTAAATGGTATGCATCAACATGAAATAAAAAATTATGAGATGGAAAAAGGAAAAAAAAATTATACCATCATATTGGCTGTCAATGTATGGTTGACTGTCCATTTGGCTGTCAAAATAGGGTTGACTGTCCATTTGGCTGTCAAAATAAGGTTGACTGTCCATTTGACTGTCAAAGTAGGATTGACTGTCCATTTGGCTGTCAAAATTTGGTTGATTGTCCATTTGGCTGTCAAAGTAAGATTGAATATCCATTTAGCTGAGTTAAAGTAATCTTAAATGTTCATTTTGCTTTAAAAATAATCTTGACTATCTATTTAGCACATAATCATAATTTACTCCACAATTAAAGCATATAATCATAATTCTCTACTTAATTAATTAATTAATTAAAAAATCAATATTTATCAATCAAGTAAATATTCTTTTCATAATTTTATAATGTATTTGATATATAAAAATTCAATATAAATATCATTTTAGTTCAATAATAATGCAAATCTCAATTAATCTTAATATCAATTTCTTAATCAAGCTAATTTGAAATAAATAACAAATTGA